TTTATTAAAGTAATATATATATTTTTTATGATAAATTAATGTAAAAAATAAAAATATAATAATTACTTACTATTATTAAAGACAAAAAAATGAAGTTGAAACTAATTAAATAAATATGGTTAAATGCTAAATTTGGTCCCTCAACTTTAGTGAGTTGCACATTTTTGGTCCCTCAACAATTTTTTGCACTTTTTTGATCCCTCAACTATACGAAATGCACTTTGTTAGTCCTTCTGTTAATTTGGACCGTTAACTCTGCTTACGTGGCATTTTTTATATTTTTTTTGATGATGTGGAGGGTAAAATTTAAAAAAGTGATGATGTGCACAAAAACTTTTGCTATGTCATGTTACCGTGGCCAAAACGCGCCAAATCCGTACACGTGGGGTCCCACATCACCACTAAGAATTGCTTCTGTCCATTGATTACTGTTTCTGTTCTTTCCATCGACGAAGAATTGCTTCTGTCCATTGATTACTGTTTCTGTTCTTTCCATCGACGATGTTCTTTCCATTTTCAAGATTGAAATCATTTAAACAATACTTTAAAAATATGAAGAAAAAAATCCCAAAAATCACTGACAACAACCTACAATTTGGATAATCTCTTGATAAACAAACATATAACAAAAAAAAAGAAGTAAAGCTGGGTTCGCCGGAACCCAACCTAGGTTCCACCAAACCCAGCTCTGCTGGGTTCGGTAGAACAGGTTCCATCGAACCTAGCTCAATTCACTGTAATTCAATTGTCCAAAAATCCCTCGCAACAACCTGCAATTTGGATAATCTCTTGGCAAATAATCATATAACAAAAAAAAAAAAAAAATGGAACTGGATTCTGGGTTTCGTCGAACCCAACAGATTTGGGTTCGCTGAAACCCAGCAGATTTGGATTTGTTGGAACCCAATTGCTGGGCTCCATCGAACCTAGTTGCTAGGTTCGACGGAACCCCGCTTGGGTTCCACCGAACCCAGCAGATCTGGGTTCAATGGAACCCATTTGTTGGGTTCCATTGAACCCAGTCGAACCCAGCAAACTGGGTTCAATGATCCGAGGAAGAAGAGGAAGAAAAAAAAAAAAAGAAAAAGAGAAAGGAAGAAGTGAATGGAATTATTTTATTTTATTTTTTAAAAATATAAATAGTAATAATGTGAGTTGGCATGAAAAAAAAATCCACATCAACACGTTTTCAATTTATTTTTGTCACGTCATCAAAAAAATTAAAAAAAGTGTCACATAAGCGAGTTAACGATCGAAATTAACAGAAGGATTAACGGAATGCATTTCTTAAAGTTTAAGGATAAAAAAAGTGCAAAAAATTATTAAGGGACCAAAAATGTGCAACTCACTAAAGTTGAGGGACCAAATTTAGCATTTAACCAATGTCAAAATCTTCTCGTTTGGGGTTTGGTCCCA